TCGCATAAAATAATACATAGATTCCTGCATAACTTAATGCAAATATTATTTAATACCTCCAGCCAAACACTACATTAGCTATGCGACGATTATTTTTTGCTTATGCGGCCAACCAAACACTATATTATCTTATGTGGGATTTTATGCTGGTATTTGTTATTCTAAACCATAAACCAAACGACCCCTCAGTGTTTGTCAATGCACATTATTACTGATGGGGCGTATAATTGGTCCAGTGTAGTGCCTTTCGAATAGTGTACCCTATCATTATAGACAATATTGGTAACTGGAATGTTTTGTTTCACAATTGCTGGTTTTTGGTTAATGGTGGGACTGAGCTTGGTCATCATAATGAGAACAGAAGCCGAGATTCTTTAGAAATCATGCCAGTAATTATTGGTTAATGCAGCTATAAAATTACTGTAGCAGTACTGTGTCCTCACTGGCCTTATTTTCTGTAGTTTCCTCTCTAGCACTTTCTTGATAAACGTCGCGATGTGATAGTTCTGGTCATCCTTGCTCAGTTGCTTTCCCTCTTCGGGTTTTCTATGCAGCTTCTTCACATGGTTCAGTGAAGTCAATCAAAAAGATGAGGATGAGGATGAGGCCCTAGAGATTCAGGATGAGGTATATGTTTATATCTTCTGCAGATTTCTTCGTGATGATTTTTTCTTTCCAATTTTCCGTTTTCTTTTTTATGGGGCGAGGTGGGGTTGACGGTGCTAATTTGGTACACAGGGAAAAGTTCTGCTGAAAGATTTTCATTTTGTCACTTTGTACCTTTGTCGCTTTTGCAGGTCGCTGACATAATTAAGGATGACTTGTGGCCGAACCCTCTCACCTATTTTAACAACGTTAGTTCCATTCGATCTTCCTTCTTATTTTATTTAATAAATATTTAGTCATGAAATGCTTTTGATAACATCATCTAAGCATTATTATACCACAGGAGCCTGATGAAGAAGATTTTGATGGTGACGAGGTAAAGATACATCACTTCATAAGTGTCATATCTGTATCATGGATAAGTGCATGAATACTTAGTTTGTTGTGACTGTTTGTGTGTTTCTCTTTGAGCATACATTTATTTACGAATATTTCATTTCCTTATTAAGCTCTTGCATTATATCTTCAAATTAGTTGTATGGCCATTGTTATAGATAATGTCAGACATTCTTCCTAATTGATATATCAGCTTCATAAGAAGGTACTTCCCAAGGTCAAAGATCGTAAGTAAGAAAGGGTCATTGAGGGTCGAAGAAAACTGTGGAGTTGAGTGGAGCTTGAGGTTGTAACTACCTTATCACTAGAATTCAAGTGTGTGGTTTTGGTTGCTACCTTGGGCGATCTATTGTTGCATAAGTAAATTGTTGAGTAAGCTTGCTGCGATGATGGCATTAGATTGAGCACTTACTAAGTGTTTTCTATCTCCTACCTTAAGTACTCTTTGGGGAAAAACTATTTTCCAAGTATAACTTCCTTTATCCTTTTCTTTCTCCCTACTTACTATGACAATACAACATCAAGAGAGCGTGCTCTTGAGATTAGAGGCCTTTTGAGCTTTTCAAGAATTTTCCTTAATTTATTTGGCTTCATAGAAGAATAAATTCTAAGCATAGTCTGTTTGCTCCGTGGAGGCTCTAAAATCCTACACTCTTAAGGTCTGCAACTTCCCACATCTTCGTCGTGGTGGTTTCCTTCTTTTCTTTTGAGGCTCATGCTACATTTTCTAGATTATTTCTGAGCAGTTTTCAGCTTAGTTGTGAGCCTCAGGAGATTCATTTACCATGCTTTCCAACAAAACTTTATTGCTCTTGTATCAAGTTAAAAGTAACGAAAGGGGACCTGAAAAATATAAGACACCACAGGGTGAAAGGCAAGGTTGGACGAGAGTGCTTTTGGCTGATGACTCAAAAGACATTTTCTTTTGCAATAATGAGGCTGCCGAAAATATTTTTTACTGGTCTTCCACTAATAAATGTATCTTTGCTCTTGCAAAATGAGTCTGATATCAAGTCCAGAGGGTTAGAATGCAGCCCTTAGAACACCGTAAAGAGAGAAAAGAGTAGGTTTAAGTTTCAGGCAGGGTAGGGGAGTCGTAATTGTTACGTTTGAAAAGGCCAGATCACTTTCTACTATTGAACATATCTTTATTTCAATGGAGAGACTGCATTCTTATTTTGTTCTTGGGCCTAGGATATAGGTCTCTGTTGGAAGCTACAAGCTATTTGTTTAGAATGAAGGATGGGTAGCAGGACATTCAGTCTTGTTACCCTTCATTGATTAGGAAATAAAAGCAGAGGGGATACAATATCTTCACGTCTTACTTCCAACCTCTCCCAAATTCGACTATAAGGAAGAATACCTTTTCATGTTACCATCTCAAAAAAAAAGGAAGAATACCTTTTCTTTTTCCAGTTTTTTCAAAACATGAGGAGAAGGGTAATTTTTTAAACCTAGGGGAAGTCTACGTGTAATTCCCCTCCCTTTATCTTCTCTCTCCTTGGTTTTACCATAGTGCATATGGTCCAACATTGGTCAGGACAACTTAACAGTAAATTGAGATGTATTATTGACAGAACTCAGGCATTCTTTGATCCTTGATAAGTTATGGCTGAATTGTTCATAGGGTCATTGGTAGATAAGTATCATTATGATGCGCGTCATTCTTTTTGGCAGAGGAACAATATTCTGGTACTATATGTGCAATGTAGATTTTCGGGAATGGGGCACAAATTACTTCTTGATTAAGTTGCCTGTTGTTGATTATATCAGGTGAAAAGACCTGTGTTCAATGGTTCTTGACGGCTCTTGTCAAGAGCTGAATGAGTCATGAATGACTTAAAATTGTATAACTGGCTTTAAGTCTTCCCGAGGTTATTAGGAGTGCAGATAATGTTCTCTGGTCAGATAGTTGAATTGGTTGATTTGACTCGAATGCTAATGCAGGGAAAGGACAGTGAAGGCTCTGAAGACGAAGAGGAAGAAGAGGAGGAGGATGAGGATGGTGATGAAGAATGAAGGCAGATAAACTGTTCAAGACCCCTATTTTGGGATCTCGTCTTCAATGGTTTTAATCATCAGGGTTTAATGTCTGTAAAGAGGCTTTGAATGTTGCCAAAGAACAGAATAACTGTGGTGACTATACCTTTTCTTCTCTTGTATGGTTATAACTTGTAAGCAAAATATCTAATTCCAGAGGTTCCAAAATGTTTTCATTAGACTAGTTCGATTGATTAAGTGTTTGTCTGGCAAAAACTGATAATGTTAGGTTATGGAGTTATGATCATGGATTATATTATATGCTCACTAATAGCTTAAACAGTGAAGTATAGATTTTGTTGTTCTATCTGGAAAATGCCTCCATGAGTTTCAGTTTCATGGGTAGAATATTATTTATTTTTGGTATGTTTTTGAGGGTTGGATAATTTGTTTGATAACTGGTACAAACTATAAAGTATCCAATACCCAGGATTTTCCTTCGGCTCTTCTCCCACAAGATAGCATGTGCTATCTTTCATGTTAGATAAGGGTGTTTGTGGACTATAAACATCACCCTCAAACCAATGTACTCTGTTTTGGAATGATGAAATAAGAAAAAATTATAAAAAAAAAAAAAACAAAAAAGAACATGCCATTGCTTTTAGGGAGCTCCCCATTTTGCTAGGGACATCGTAATCTATGCCTAATTACCATTTCCTCCCTGAGTTCAAAATGAGGCTAAATCAAATCTCTGGGCGTTCTATTTCCTATCTGTCTGTCATGGTTGAGAGGGCGTCTGCAGACTGCTGATCTTGCACAGTAGCATATGCTGAATTTCGTACAAGCAGTGATGCTTTATTATTATAGTTAAAGTTAAATTCAGTTTGTATGAAATGAATTATTACGTTGATTGAGAAGATATCCTTTACCTACTTAGTTATAAAATGTTAGTATTAATATATACGGGTACATTGGCAAAAGGTATCAAAACCCCACCTCAAGCAGGCAGTCCAGAAAAAAATTAAACCAGAAAATAGGGGTGTACAAAGGAAACCGATAATCCGAATCAAATCGAGAAAAAAATCCGACTATGGTTTGGTTTGGTTTGATTTTAACTAAAAAAAGTCGCACCAAACCAACCCAACCCAACATTACATATATAGAAATTTTAAATATATTTAATACATAAAAATATTTATTGTTGTGTACTTTATAAATATTTCTTAAACATTTTCATAATTTTATCTTTTAACATATTATTTTAAACTTGGACTTATAATTCTTGAATGCTACAATAGATTATTGCCGATGTAATCATAAAAAGTTAAATTTTCAGGAATTTTAGACCAGGCTTCTGATAAACTTTGATTTTCTGCTAGCCCAGCATTAACTCTTCGATATATTTCTTGCTGGAAGTACCCCTGATCCCATTGGTAACGAGTGAGCCGAAATAATTCAATCGGGAATGGATCTTTTTTTTTGGGGAATAAGCACTCTTGTCGCTCTGGAGTTGTAGATAGTAGGGGGGAATCGCCTTTCTAGTTGTAGTTTATAGTCAATATTAATGCTAATAAAAGACATTCAATTAAATTGTACTATGACAATAGCGTTGAATATCTATTTTTTTTTTTTGTGGTTTTTTCATGATTTAGATAAAATACACAACTTATTTCTTTTTAGTGTTTAGTCATGTAAAAATAGTACTTGTTAGTCGTACTTATTTTAGCAACTTAATAATTTTAGATTATGTTTATTTTCAATATGTCATATTAATAATATTTATTTTATGCGATTTTATTAACTTTATTGTTGAGTATCTTAGTACAATACCATAGCTCATCTCATATTTTATGTTATTTTCTTGAAAAAACCTTATATAGTTATGTCTTACTAGGATCAAAGAAATATTTGGAGCACAAATTCTATGTTTTGTGCTATGAAGACTTTATGAAAAAAAAACCCCGAAATAACCCAAAAACCCGAAAAATCCGAGAAAAACCAAGATTAAAAAACCCGACTTTTCACACAATTGGTTTGATCTGGTAATTGAAAACCCGAACCAACCTGACCTATGTACACCCCTACTAGAAAAATATGAACTGGATAAATAAAGAAGTAACTTGGCTATCTAGGTCCTGCAATTTTTTTCTACCAAAATGTGTACTTTTGGCAAATATTCATTTAACCCAAGCATGGTTTGGATATCTTTGCAAATATAAACACACCCACAACGTTATTATACTCAAGATACAACATAGAAAATCAAGCAAAATGTAGTAGTTCAATTGTCGCTAATTAGTCGCAGAGGCAAAGGTGATTAATGTTGTTTTGTCTTCGTGCCTGGCTGGAGGATTCAACTTCTCTTTTACTCTCACACCAAAGTAGTCTTTATATTGGAATCTCCTATATTTTGGAGGCTCCCCGATTACTTTAGTAAATTGTGGCAATGGTTCCACCCATTTCTCTCCATTCAAATTGTAGAAAAATACAAAAACGTAACGACTTTTTCCCTTGGGCCTCAGCACTTGGTGGAAGGGGCTCACAAATTTGTCGTTGGTTAGCACCTGCCAATTTGCCATGCATACATTCAAGCAATTAGCAAGGATGAAATTGATACAATCAAATCTAAAACATTTCATTTTGTAGCTCTTGTTAATTTCTTTGTTACCTGAAGAACATCGCATATATGGAAGACCAAGGCCCCCTCAATTGGAGTCACAGGTATCCATTCCCCATCAATGAGAACTTCGAGACCTCCAGCATCATCCTGAAATATGAGACTCAAAACAGCAGGGTCCTGGTGTGAGTTAGCACCATTATCTTGAGTTTCAGTTGCTGGGAAGTAACGACAACTCAACAAAATATCCACACATCTATCGTTGTTATAATCTTTCAGGCAGTTGGGAGGGAGACCGAGAGAATCATTCAGAATGCCCTCCAAGAGCTGGCACGTCTCCGAAAATTTATTAAACAATTTTTCCATAATAAGCCTGTAAACGGGATTCAAAAAAAAGAAAAAAGGATGAAAACTCTATTTTTGTGAGAATGAGCATAAGAAAATCAATGAAGTTTTGTCATGAAATTCGTACTGGAAATGTGGTGGATTGGTAGGGAAAACATTGCCCGTGGTTCCAGGGGGCAACATGAACAAATATTCATTCTTATCGGCTTTGTGCTTGCGATATCCATGAGGACAAGGAAGTGGAGCATCTGATTCAGTGTAAACTTTGAATTTCTCCTCATATGGTTGATCAAAGAATTCTTTGCACAGCTCCATAGCTTGGTGACTGAAATCTATGGGTACGCCATGGTTTACCACTTGAAATAAGCCGTACTCAGAGCAGGCTTGTTTGATTATTTCAGTGACCTTCTTCTTGCCCTCTTGATCTTCATCATTCAAGAAGAAAGTTGAGAGATCAATTGTGGGAATACTAACTGCCCTTGCCATCCTTTGCTAAGTTGATCCTAATTTGGAAGCCGCTATTCAGTGTAACTGCGCTTGCCATCACTTGATCGTTCCTTTTTTATAGCCAGGCTCGAAGAGAACAAAGAAAAAACAATAACCTTTGCCATAACCACTACTAGAAATTCGGCCAAAACCGACCGATCGGTTTTTCAAAATATTTTATTTTTTATTTTTTTATACGGAACCGACCGACTTCGGACGCTTTTTTTTGCGCAAAAATGCGGGAAACTATTTTAGCATCCCAAGAAATTTATTTTTTAAGAAACCGACCGAAATCGGTCGATTTTTCATATAAAATAAACTAAAATATTCAAAAAACCTTGGTCAGTCATTTTAAAAAACCGACCGAAGTACCGAAATCGGTCGGTTATTTCAGTCAGTCATTTTAAAAAACTGACCGACTTCAGTCCGTAATTTTATATTTTTAATAAAACCGACCGAAATCGGTCGGTTATTTTCGCGCGAAAATAAAATTAAGGAGTACAAATAAATTAAAAGAAAGTTCTAATAAACAAAAATGTACCAATAGTCTAGTGGTAGAATAGTATCCTGCCACCGTACAGACCCTTGTTCGAGTCCCAGACGGTGCATTTTTTAATTGCATAATTAAAAAAACCGACAGAATTCGGTCGGAATACTGTCTGACTTGGGTTTTTTCGGCAGATTTTTTCTTTTTGGGTCGTTTGTGAAAATTAATTTACCGACCGATTTCGGTCAGTGTTTTTACCGACCAACCTATTTTCGGCAGATTAAAGTTGGTCGGAAATCGATCGGTTTTTCCTGATTTTCGACCGATTTCGGACGGTTTTAGGCAGTTTTCTAGTAGTGAACGAGGGATTAAACTCCTTTTTTGATGTTGTATGGGGTAAAATCGGTTGATAATAGATGGTCAAATGGTAACATGACACGTGGAACCGAAGACAAGCAAAGGACGAGTCGGGAAACAGTCGATACAACGAGTGTGCCCTGTACCTGGCAGATTCCGAGGGGAATATAGTCGACGCTAGAAGTTGAAAGGTCTGCCATCAGATAACATTCAATGAGGGAATATTCACTATCATTAAACGACTTTGTACTGAATATTTGCATTCAAAGGTTAAGACATTTTTATTATCATTTAAGAGGAGCTTGATCCTAGGATCTTGTTCCCCTAGGTAGGCTATAAATAGCAGGTTCAACAACCATTGTAAGGACATGAAACATTCTATTAAAAAAAGGCTATATTTTACTATTTTTCTCTAAATTAACAACTTTCTTTCACTTTGTCGTTATTCCCATTTGTGCGGAGACGCTGGGTTCGGAGCCAGGCTAGTTATATTCTTCAATTTCAATGGTTAAATCCCAATTTTAATTTTATCTCTTTATCATTTTTGGATCAAATCAATTTGCTGGTCTCTAAACCACGTAATAAATCTGTACCGTTTTGCGGGTAAACAGTTTGGCGCCCACCGAGTCTCGAAAAGGCGAGGTTTCTTTTAGTTTTAACTGATTACTTCACTAAATGGGGTGAAGTAGGACCTTACCAAAAGATCGATGAACGCGAATGGTCGACTTCATATGGGACCAAATAATCTGCCGATTCCGAATACCGAAGGAAACTGCTTGTGACAACGGGCCGCATTTCATAGGTTCATAAGTCACAAACTGTTTTGGAAGGATTGAAGATCAAGAGAATTACATCTTCACTGTACCATCCAAGTGCTAACAGACAGGCGGAATCAACCAACAAGGTAATTATTTAGAACCATAAAAGAGGTTGGAAGATGCTAAGGGCAAGTGGCCCAATGAGCTACCAGGAGTGCTATGGGCATATCAAACAACGACGAGGTCGATCACGGGAGAAACACCTTCCTCTCTCGTGTATGGTGCGGAAGCTATGATACTGGTGGAAGTAGGGGAACCGACTTTAAGGTTTACCCGAACAAACGAAGAAGCAAACAATGAAGCATTGTTGGTGAGACTGGACTTGCTCGATGAGCACATGGACTTGGCGTACGTGAGGATGGTGGCTCAAAATCAAAGGATGAAAAAATATTATAATCATTGAAGGGACAATATCCGTTACTTCAAGGTAGAAGACTTGGTTTTCATATAGGTGACTCAGAGAAAGGTGACTTAGAGCACCGGGGAAGTCAATGCCGGGAAGTTGGGACAACCTTGGAAAGGCCCTTTTCGGGTTTCATCTATCACCGGTAGAGGATCGTACGATTTGAAAAATCAAGATGGAGTCAAATTACCCAGCAATTGGAATGTGACTCACCTCAAAATATATTATTGCTGATGTATCCTACCAGTACTGAAAGTATGTGCTGCACTCTTTTTTCCTTCAAATTTTTTTTTCCCAATAGGATTTTTCTGGCAATGTTTTTAATAAGGTAGCGATGAAAAGCATAATACAAAGGGAGCGACATCAGCAAAAGGCAAGATCATTAAGTGTCGAGGCAATAAAATTTTCACATGGTTAAATAATCTTTGGTTCGATGCAAGCTTTGCCTTCCATTATTAAAAAAATATTATTTAACCATTCACAAGTTGTTTCCAGTGGTGAAGCAGCAATCCGGGCGTAGGACTTCCAGTGTTCGAATTCGCATGCTTCGCATTCAAACACTGGGGGGGGGGGGGGGGATAATATCATATACAGCACCAAGAGTTCCGCGAAAATCGGGATTGTGAGAACCAGGATCAATATTTTTGTCAGGACCGGGGACTGCATGACCGCCCTTGTAGAAATAAGTTGTACAAATTAGTCACACGTATTGACAAATTTATTTATTTAAGCAAACGAATGCCTATGTACTTTTAAAAATAGAGGAAATAAAACAAAGTCCTTTTATTTTTATCTTATTTCTTGTCCAAATGATAAGTTAATTTTATCGTTTGAAAATTAACAAAAACATCAAATGTTTGTGCCGGAATGAACATGAGACGTCCTCTTCAAGAGCACCGTAAACATAAGGGCCCTCTCATATGAAACCCTAGTTGTAAATGGTAGATTCAGGAAGAGTTTATGCCCAGAATCAAAAGCTTCGAATGTTAAAGTATACTTGAAGCTTTAATCTACTAAACATAAAAGGAATATTTTTGCACAACACTTAAGAAGAAATTCTTTATTTTTTAAGTGCCAAACTCGATGAGAGGTTTGGTATAATTACAAGATAAAAAAAGGAAAGAAAAGAAAAGGAAATTATACATCATTGCTGCCAAAACCCGAAGGGAGCGAGGGATCTACATTCCCCACGGTGATGAAGAAGGATCCACTACCGGTTCGAGGCCTTCATCTTCTTTAGTCTCCCCTTTGGTTCCCGAGTACTTGGAACCGGTACTCGAGGAGTCAGTCGCAGCGGGTCGAGCAGGAAGATTTGGACGAGCAAATAACTCCAGTTCCCGAGCATGGGCAATACAATCGTCTATATTGGCGATGCCCACAACGAGGGATTAAACTCCTCTTTTGATGTTGTATGGGGTAAAATTGGTTAATAATAGATGGTCAAATGGTGACATGACATGTGGAACCGAAGACAGACAAAGGACTAGTCGGGAAACAGTTGATACAACGAGTGTCGCCGGTACCAGGCAGATTCCGATGGGAACATAGTCGATGGTAGAAGTTCAAAGGTCTTCCATCGGATAACATTCAATGAGGGAATATTCAGTAACATTAAACTACCGTTGCACAGAATATTTGCATTCGAGGCCTGCAGTTACATGTTCATCAATGACATTTTTATTATCATTTAAGATGAGCTTGATCCTAGGATCTTGTTCCCCCAGGTAGACCTATAAATAGCCGGTTCAGCCGCCATTGTAAGGACATGGAACATTCTATTCAAAAAAGACTATATTTTACTATTTTGCTTTGAAATAACAGTTTTATTTCACTTTGTGTTATTCACATTTATGCTCTCGGAGATGCTGAGTTCGGAGCCAGGCTTGTTATCTTTTCAATTTCAATGTTAAATCTCAATTTTAATTTTATCTCTTCATCAGTTTTGGATCAAATCAATTCGCTTGTCTATAAATCACATAATAAATTTAACTATACCGTTTTACGGGTAAACAGATACTGCTTGAATAACTATGTTGTATCGGGACTTGTGAGTGCAATAACGTGACCTGTGTGTCTGTGTTAACAAGAATATCCAATATACATTTTTCTCATCTGTTAAAAGATGCCATAGTTAATAAATTAGTAACACAAAATATCTCAAGCTAGCTAAGATTGTTATTTCACTTGTGCGGGGTCCTTCTCATTTATGATTGAAGAAGAATTTTCTGCCAACCTATGAATTGGATGGCAAATGGTGGTGAAAGTAAATTTAATTTTTTTGCAGTAAAAAAAAACTGAATTTACTTTCACCACCCTTTGCCATCCAATAAATAGGTTGGCTGAAAATTCTTCTTCAATTATAAATATGACGGACCCCGTACAAGCAAAGTAGCAATATAGTCGCCAGAAAAAAAAAAAAGAAAATTAAATTTGTTATGAAACAATAAAAGAAGAAGAATAGTATTGCAGAGAAAAGTAGGGAGAGACAATTTGTGATGATTTACAATGGAATAAAATCCTCTATTTATAGGGAGAGGGTGACTTAGCAACTAAGTAATAAACCCTAGAATCTCTCTAAATATAGACATTCACCATAAATAAAATTCTATTTATAACACTCCCCCTTGAATGTCTATTCAACAGATAATGTGCCTCGTTAAAACCTTAACTAAATAAAACCCAGTGGGAAAAAAATTCTAGAGAAGGAAAAGAGTACACATATCTAACAATACGCCTTTTGGTTGCCTCGTTAAAAACCTTGCAAGGAAAACCCAGTGGGACAAAACCTTGTAAGGGAAAAAGAGTACAACGCGTATTAACTCCCCCTCATGAGAGCATCACTTCACATCCTTAAGCATTTGCATTCCAATCTTGTGCACCATCTTCAAAAGATCTTTGGTAGATATTTGATAAACAAATCAGCCATATTCACTTGAATGAATATATTGCACCTTGAAATCATCATTCTTGATAGAGATGGATTGTCTTCATATGATCTTGTTGGAATCGCCAGTTCAATATCTTCACATAGAGGTGAAAACTCTTGCTATCATATTATCATGCATATAATTATAGCAAGATACATTTGTGCACAAATTGCACTGAGGATGTAGTACTTCATGACCATGAATTTTATATGCTTTAAGCAATTTAAATCCT